TACCTCTCATTTTTCGTGTGACGTAGAGCCGTCTAATGAAAATGGTGAAATTGCGATCGTTACAAGTGCTGCTGCCTCTATGGAAGAGAATGGTAGGATTTCGCCATTGTCCACTTTTAAGTTGTAAAGTTTTGATTTGTGGAATTGCTCTTTATAAATAGAAACACCCGATGTAAATGAACGAACTCCGATTGATGTTGATCCAGTGCAAAACAATGGTACCTGGAAATATTGATCCTTTTATCCAGTTTCGAATCGAGACAATTATAATTTATTCAATTACTGTTGGTGTTTGTTCTGTAGATATGGCTGAAGCTAATGAGTGATCTTTGGCTCACTCTAATGGGTCTCCGACGGTGGAGGATAATGGTAAAACTTCACTTCTATCACTTCCTCTAATTGTGGGAGCTTTCATTTGTGGCTTATGTAATTGTTCATCTTTTTTCTTTTCCGTAGAAATACGTTTAAGTAGTATATGATTATTGCAAACAGATCTATCGCACTCCTTACAGTAGAAATCACTGGAATCTACAAGTTTAAGGAAGCAACGTCTCGCTAATGTTATTACAAGATGAAGTGCATGTCCTTCTTAATATAGATTAATCAAATCAACGTGGAAATTAATGAATGGGAGCGAGGTATTTGATGCAGCTGCATTCGCAACGCGTTATTCAGTCGATCTCATCTCTTCGTTATCTTCACCATTTGTCACTAGTAATTCCAAATAAATGGTAATTAACAAAAGAGCCTACTGAAATTTTGAGGTTTGGAATGCTTATTGTGCAGAAATTTCCCTTGTGATAACGGCCATTATGGATTAGGTGCGGATGACGATGAACAAACGATTTATTGCTTCTACATGAAGAACGTGTATGAATGGATTTATGAGATGGAAATGACAACGGCTATGAAGGAATATTGCGTGTCACATTGGCTTGGGGAGCGTTTTACGTCATTTGAATGGATACATTAAATCGAGCTACTAAAATAGTAGTGTTCTTCTTTTACTCACATCTTTTAAACAAGAAGTCTTTCAATGATTTAATCTGACTCTTAGGCTGTTTGGGCTTTGCAAATAGGCTACAGCTAGACACACCCACAGCATGGTAATTGCACTTTTTTCTTATTTTGCCGCTCTGACTTTACGCTTAAATAGGCTCCAGCAGGGGTCATTTCCCTCCTGCACTGGAGGTTTTTGCAGCCTACCTTAGTTCTGATGTTTATAAGACTAAGCACAGAAACAACTTGGCTTTTTATAGAAAATTGGCCGAGATAATATGGGTATAAAAATCGTCCAAATTTCACAGCCTGTTTCCAACATTGTAATCACGACATTTCCTTGAATGAATCGTACTTTCCAACTACAAACGCCACTAGGTAGCATGAAAGGTCGTAAGGACAGCGCGGATGAATTTCACGGATGAGAAAGATCGTATTGATAGAAAATGATGAGTAAAATAATCTCGATAAAATTTTCGATCTAAACGCCATCGGAAAAATGGCACTGCAACTTGTATAAAGTTCAGATATATATTGTACTTCGTCTTAACTAGCAGAAGTAATTGAGTAATTAATACACTTTAAACTTATTTGTTTGGTGGGTGTCAAAAAATTGATTTTAATCAGTATTTCAACTAGGGGGGGGGGGGTGTAATTACATTTGAGAGAAAGTTGTCATTGAGATGAGTGTAGGTACAATTTTAGAATCGCTTTTGACGATCTCACTGGCACTGCTCACCATGTTGAAGAAGAATAAATCGGAGTGAGAATTGGATTTATCTGGTCTATTTGCCATACGATGACACTCATTCGAGGTGAACACTAAAATTTATAATTTTGGTTCTGTATTAGTATATGAATCTTAGAAGACTTAAGATAGAATTGGAGAGTCATTCGCTCATATTCGCCATTTGCTTTTGAAATTAACTTGGGATTTCTGTTGCCTGACATTGATCCTGAACACGGAGATGACAAATTTTGAACAGCGAGAAGTCCACTTTGTTTGGGATTAAAGGAAAAGTTTTCCATAATGGGATTTCGAGATTTTATCGTATACAGCCTTGCATATTTTTTCATCTCCATGTTGCATTAGTAGTTGTTCTTCTTTCGTTAATTACTCCGCAAAAATCGTCTATTGGTTCCATCGACTTAAGAGATCAAGAAGTTAGTTTGCGAAATTCGAAACAAAAGTTTCGCTGGAAGCATGTTTGCAAGGAATATATTGAAACACGTCATTAATAAATAATTAATTAATAATAAGACGAGGGGTTCGCGATAGACTTACCTCCTCGTGGTGCACCTTGGACAACGTATTTTCTTACGGCAAAAAAGTCTATCACTCGGCATTCGTTTTTGACTTCGATTAATTGTGATTAGCTTTAAAAACGACCATAAGAAAAATCGTCCTCGTTAGGGCGAATCACATCGTCTTCAGATCGTCCAGTGGAATGCTGGAGGAATGTCACCGGACAAAAAGAT